ACATGTGGAGAAAAACTAGCTGTCCCTAGAAAGAAAATGCGGATTCCTTCTAGAGTCTTACACATATGTCAAAAGCCAATTTTGTTTTCCATTTATACATAATTCCATATACTGTATTTTATGGTCTTACCTACACTAGTTGATACTAGGTCAGTATTTTTGAATCAGCAGGTGAACATTGAGTTCCACTATGGAAATGAAGCCTTAATCTTCAGCAGTTTTGTGTCTTCAAACATATTTTGCTGAATTTTTTTTTTTCTGAGGCAAAGTTTAACTCTCGTTGCCCAGCCTGGAGTGCAATGGTGCGATCTCAGCTCACCATAACCTCTGCCTCCCAGGTTCAAGCGATTATCCTGCCTCGGCCTCCCAGGTAGTTGGGATTACACGCGTGTACCACCATGCCCGGATAATTTTGTATTTTTAGTAAAGACAGGGTTTCTCCATGTTGGTCAGGCTGGTGTCGAACTCCCAACCTCAGGTGATCCACCCGCCTTGGCCTCCCAAAGTGCTGGGATTACAGGCGTGAGCCACCGCGCCCGGACCAAAAACGTTCATTTTATTTCACCATGGTTAGCCTGCTGTTAGAATGATTTGCTAGTGGGAACACAAAGAGCAATTCAAGTTAGGTAAAAGCACCATTAGGTAAGTAAGGTAAAAGCAACATTTATTTTAACAAATACAATGTGTAGGCAATAACACACATTGCCTAACATCCATGGTGCACAACATAGACTGGGAAACATGTTACTGTTCTCTGAGCATGGTTCATTGGTGTGAAACATACAAATACGTATGGAAATCTCAATTTAAGTTATATGTAGTTTTAGCTTAACTCATTGTTTGTAGTGTAATTCATTCCCAATAAGAATTTGAGTATCTTCCAGATGAACAAATTGATGTGTGAATAAAGGACCTAAAACTGATATATTTCTTAAAAAGAACAATTTAATTTTGGAATATTCTTTACCTAAAATTTCTGATTTCTTAATCTTAACATTGAATTTTGTTGAAGATTTAAAAAATGGACTGACAATATCAGCAAATTCATAAAGACACAAATGACCTAGGACAATGGTCATAAAATGTGTTGCTGCTTGTTCGATCAATGAAATAAACACAGTTTCGTTTCAAAGTACATAAATATTTTAGCTTTCAATTATCTGGAATTGAGCTATTAGCATTTGAACTTTTATTGATATTTCTTCCACACATTAGCTAATAATCGCTAAATAAGGGGGATCTGGTTGGTGTTTCTAGACTATGAAAGTTCATAGAACTTTGTTTTATTGGCGTGTTCTAACAGTTTGAAAGGCAGTTGATTTGCAAATGGCATATAAGTCAGCAAAGGCATTAAACTAGAATCAGGGTTAGGATGACAGAAGAGGACAAGATCCTTATTGAGGTTTCCATTATTATTTTAGAAGTACTATAAATGACGAGGACAATGGAGAGCCCCTTACTGACATGGAAGCACCAAGAATACCTCCCACAGTAGAATATAAATGATTTTTAGATTATTCACTTTTCATTAATCAAGATTTGATAATCACACAATTAGTTCACTTTTATAAATTAATAATTTCAAACTTTAGACTTTATTTATAATGATAATTTTTATATTTTTATTACTTAGAAAATAATTTATATTTTTCCATCATTTAAACAAAGAGTAGGCCTGAGTCTCATGCCTTTTGCACAGCTTTTACCTTCAAAGAAAGTTCTCTGGGTAAGATAGGCAGGGAATATGGGGAAACTGCAAATTAACAGTCTACATACATCTAATATGAACAGTCTGTAAGATATTCCTTTTCTTTAGTTTAACTGGGATTGCAACGGTAAGATTTGTTCTGGTATTCAACCAAAATAGACAGAATTTGGTATTCTGTTTTTAGGAAGTAAATACTTTCTTGAACATAATATGAGAAAATTTCTTCGTTCATCAGATGAAGACTAATATAGATATATCCCTGTACAGAGCTACTGTCTTCATCTTTTATTGAGAGCCAAACCAGGTCTTATACAAATGACAAAAAATATTACAGCTAACAAAAGCAAAAGTGGTGCTTTTATCAAGGAAACCAATATTTTAAAGGTTAATTTCGATATATAACTGGAAAGACGTTTATTAGCATGCTGAAAATAACACTGGTGACACTCAGAATATACCTGGTTTTTACTTAACAGAGAACCATGGCATCCAGGTAACCAGTTCCAACTTTTCCTACCATTGATTTTATGGTTTTCTAAACAATTATCTTTTTCCCTAGGTGGGCTAGAAACTCTTTCATTTGAAAGACCTGAGTTTATTTAATGGCACCTATAAATAGGCTCATATAAAAATGTAGTAAATTGCAACAAATACATTGGCACCACAGGAAGTAAGCTCTGGATTTGGATGTGAACATAATAATATTGCTGTCACCTAAAAGGGGGAGAACTCTACTGGCAGAAAATGTCCCTTAGCATCCTTTGAGATGTACTGGGTGTGTACGAAAGTCACATACTTGGTGGATCTTCATCCCTTTATTTATCCCAATTGACTTCTAGCTGTAATAGTAATTTATTTTTAAAGAAAAATGTATCAATCTTCCTGGATTGATGAACACAGTTCTGGAATGAAGATGTTCTAATTGCTTTGGCCACTATTATTCCTCTTATTTCCTGTACCTTCAAACAAAACAAACAAACAAAACCAGGCAGTTTGCTGAGACTTCCACTGTAGTAGCCAAGATGCCCTGCTAATTGGACTATACAGCTTTGATGAAACTGCCAACAGACTGTGATGGGCTTCCAACTGTCCTGCCAGTCCACTCACTCCAAACGTAGCTTTATGTTCAATTAATATTTATGTTAGAGATGGACAGGCTTTGGAAGATGGGAAAATATTGGCTTTGTTAAGTAATTAGACACAAGGGGTATGAGAAGATAAATGCTTTTCTCCCCCTTCTCTTAATTGCAATGAAAGGAAAATAGTTAAATTCACTGGCAAAATTTGACTCATAGTAATTTTTGCAAACATAGAGACACACAGGCAAAACTAAGGAAATGAAAACAATTAGGTAAGTTCTAAAAAATGAAGACCTGGTGTTAATTCAGAAATCTACTGAAATATATTTTAATTATTTAGGTAGAGGCTGCATCCACTTGATCCTTTTTACATTTTCCTACTTATTGGAGAATTTGCCTTGAAACCATGAATATTTTTTGTTGTATTATCTTTGCCTTATTTTTTAAAATGCCGTGAATTACTGTAAAATAATGCTTCGAAAGGGGAGAGTACAATATCCATTTATGAGAAATAAAAGTATTTTTAATGTAAACATTCCTTTCTACTACGTCAGAGAAAATAAAAACTGGAAATCACAATCGAGGTTTACATAGAAGCTAAGATTGTTTAGATAATGAGTAGGTCTATATATAGTACTGAAGGAAGAATCATAACCAAACAGTGTTGGAAAGAAATGGACACCAACTATAAAAATATGGTATTGGCTAACAGTCTTTCATCTGGGAGATATGGACCCAGAATTCATTCAGTTAGCAAAAGTTACTAGTGAAAAAAACATTCTTTGCAGCATCCTCATTTAATTGGCAAAAAAAAAAAAAAAAAAACTATATCAGATTATCATTTAAATTATAATAGGTAGATGATTGGCTGTCCATCGACCTCCATGCAAATGAATCATCATTCTCTTACTGGGCTTGGAGAGAACTACAATGTATAAAAATGGTGATTAAAGTATAACTTTATAAAAATGTTTCCCTTTTCCTTTTTTAAAAAAAGAGTTTACTATCTACAGAAACAAAAAAATCTTCATATTTACATCAAGATAACTATCATGACATATATAATAATACGAAATAAAATATTGAAAGTGAGTATCAACTTTTTAAATAGAGGTTTGGCTCACAGCATAAACAAGTGTAGATAACAAACAAACCAAAACAAAACAAACAAAAAGACTTTCAATAATAACCCGATCCTCAAACAATCTCTCTATAATCTCCCCTGCCAGAAGAAGCATGACTGACAATGGGCCAGATTGCCGATGGAGGCTACCCGGACAAACAGCGTGTGGATACCACAACAGGGGTTGTCAGCGGGACCTTTGCCCCTGAAAGACAAACTACAACAGTTGCCAAGAATCAGGCTTTACCTACATCAACACAAAAACCCTGGGTTGAAATAATCTCCTTCCTCTCTTGCTATATAACCCAGAGTGATTTTTCTGTTTCCTTTTCTTCCTCTACCACACATTTTGCAGCAAATTAAGAAGACACAGGCGATCACACTGAAGTACCATTTCCCAAGCCTTCTCTGGCATCATTTAGAATTCTAACCTGACTGAAAGACCTGACTCCAGCTCTTTCCTAGGTGTTTATGGATAAAGAATGCCATCCCCTTAAATGGTGATTTGATCTCAGTTGAGTGACATCCATAATCACAGACAGCTCCTATACATTCATTAGGCAAGTAGACTGGAAAATGCCTCGGTCTTCCAGGTTTGAGGCTGGTGATAGAGCTCCTTCAAGTGGTGCATAACAGTAATGTAATACCAAACATGTGGCCCTCTCACCCAGCCCTTCAGTGCCCTCCAACTGCAAAAGGCCCTTTATTTGAAGCTAAATGGAGGAGGGCATTTGGAATGGCTGCCTCCCAAAGACACTCCACAGTGAACTTCCTTCTGTTTGTTCACATGTACTCAGTCATTTGCTACAGCTATTCTATGAGTTACTGAAACCACAAAAATCTCTTTACATATGCACACACATGCACACAAGCACCCTTTCAAACCGTTCCCTTCTGTCTCTCTTTCACACACACACACACACACACACACACACACACACACACACACACACAGTGTTGGCAGGATGTATCAGAATTCAAATAATGCTCTGGAACTTTCATCCCTCAGTACTAAGAGCAAAAGCTGCTTAGTTGGTAACCTACATTTCCTGCACTGTTTCCTTGCTAAGCCACACCATCTCCTTTGTGATTTGGTTTCCTTTATGATTTATTATATCACAGTGACCACTATATATCTTAATATAAATGTTACTAAATTGTGGAGCCAGCAATCCTGGCCTTCAGTGTGTATGTGTGTGCGTGCATGGGTGTGAATATGCTTTACATGTATCTATGTGGGAGCTTATATACACACACACATATATATTCCCTCCTTAAAAAATCCTTAGAAGCTGGTGTTGCAATGTGAAAGCTTCTTTGAGCAAAGAGTTTTTAACATGTACCTCACTGTAAAAATATACACACAAAATGCGAAGAATCCCAAAATGCAATAGCCATTTGCCCATCTTCTCAAATTTCTACAGTGTTGTGTCTAAATGTTGTGCTGGCTTGAAGAGAGTCTTTGACAAGTCAATCTGTTTGGAAACACAGCCCATTCTATCCATTGTCACTGGTCTGGCTTTGGGGTTGGTATCTCCTCCCCTCTTGGTTTCCCTTTCTCTTCTTCTTCTTCCTTGATAGCCTGGATCTGTTCTGAAGAGTGCGATTGAGGGGTCGGGTCCAGGGATTGATTTTCAACACCTGCCAACCGTTGCTCCTCTTCAATGACTTTCTTCCACATCTTGTGGTTCTGTAAGAGGTGCTGAGTTATTTGGCAGTAGATTTTTCTCCTTTTGAAAGTCTTCTTTTCTAAAATAAATAAAATAAAATGCACTAAATTAGACTACTTAGTTGTGTGCTGAGCACACAAATGTTATCTCTTTTAAGATAATTAAGAGGAGGTAATCCATAACCTTGGTTTGTATATTATAATAATGCAGTTTTGGAGAATGGGGAAGAAAGAGGAAAATGGCAATAATCATTAAAATATCACTCACAAATAACTAGGGATGGTATTTAATATTTGGCAATGTCCAGAGCAAGATTCTGCTTTTATCTTGGTATTATTCTCCTTACATTCAGGCTCTCAAGGCTTTTTACATAGATCATTGAAATAACTTCTTGCTATGTCTGTCTCTGTCAGTCAATTTAATTCACAAACATCTACAAGACTGATATATTTAAAGATGGTTCTGATGTTCCTCATCTGCTTCACGTGGACTAAATAATTAATTTCAGGCTGGGCGCAGTGGCTCAGGCCTGTAATCCCAGCACTTTGGGAGGCTGAGGCAGGCGGATCATGAGGTCAGGAGATTAAGACCATACTGGCTAACACGGTGAAACCTCATCTCTACTAAAAATACAAAAAATTAGCTGGGTGTGGTGGCGGGCACCTGTAGTCCCAGGTACTCGGGAGGCTGAGGCAGGAGAATGGCGTGAACCCGGGAGGCGGAGCTTGCAGTGAGCTAAGATTGCGCCACTGCACTCCAGCCTGGGAAGACAGCAAGACTCCATCTCAAAAACTAAACTAAACTAAACTAAAATAAAAAAAAATTAATTTCAAAATGTAGTTAACCATACTTTACCCTGCTTTTTTAATTTTTAAAACATCTACACTGAACTCATATTTTCAAGCTGGTACTACCTATCCTTCTGAAATGTTCTTTGCAACCACTGAGAGTATATATCCATTCATTTTTTAAAGACTCTATCAGATTTCACTGAATTCTTCTAAGAAATAATCTCTTTCTTCTAAATTTCTATGTTACTCCATATATGCCTCCTAGAGTATATACTGTTTCTGTTTTTACTTTTTCCCTTTTGTTCTCCTTATTATCTCTTCTTCTGGTAACTGTGCATCCAAAATCATTTAGAGAGAACTTTTCCCCCTCCCTTCAATTATGTGGTTCTAGAAAAGGTTTTTAAATTCTACTTCCTCACTCATAACTGGTCTACAAAATTGTATCACAGTGACTGGCCAATAGTTGCGTGGGTGACCCAAGTTGGGCCTGAGTCCTTCCTTGATATATTTCCCATTTGCACATAATGAATGTGGGTTTGAGAGGTGTAATTGGAGATCCTTTCTCCTTTGCTTATGCATCTGGAATGAAGTGAACTTACAGCTGGCTATAGTTCCAGCCTCATGAAGAAAGCAAAGCTGAAAGAACAAGCTGTTAGGCAGGTGAGGCAGAGACAAAAGCAAGAACAAATAAGCACTGATAATAGCCAACATCATGTTTACATGAACCAATAATGTTCACTTTTTGTATATCCTCATTCCATTGGAATTTTATAACTTGTAACCAAAAAAAAAGTTCTACCTTAGTATACCTCCTTTAAGAAACTAATCTTGGGCCAGGCGCGGTGGCTCATGGCTGTAATCCCAGCACTTTGGGAGGTCGAGGCAGGCGGATCATGAGGTCATGAGATCGAGACCATCCTGGCTAACACAGTAAAACCCCGTCTCCACTAAAAATACAAAAAATTAGCCAAGCGTGGTGACGGGCACCTGTAGTCCCAGCTACTCAGGAGGCTGAGGCAGGAGAATGGTGTGAACCCGGGAGGCGGAGCTTGCAGTGAGCCAAGATCGGCCACTGCACTCCAGCCTGGGCGACAGAGTGAGACTCCGTCTCAAAAAAAAAAAAAGACACTTATCTTGTCATCTTCAAGATGGTAGGCTAGAGGCATCTGGTACTTGCCTCCTCCACAGAGAAGAACCAATGGACTGAGTAGGTAATCAGACTTATCATCTAAAATATAATTTTGAATTCAACAGAGAAATGACAGGAAATACCTAAGATAAGGAAGAAGAAAAACAATTCGTAATATGAATGAGAAATTTACTAAAGAGACAGGTATCAAGAAAAGAAAAAAGAGGAACCAAAGAGAAACTCTGGAATGAAGAATTCATTGAAAGAAATACATATACATTCAAAAGTTTTAACAATAGACTTGATCAAGTTGAAAAAAGAATCAGAATTTGAAGATGGGTCTTTTGACATAACCCAGTCAGATGAACATTAAAACATAAAAAATAATAATAATGAACAAAGCTTGCATGACATATTTGAATTTTCAGTGTCCCAGAAGGTGAAAAGAAAATGAAAGGGAGAGAAAACCTGTTTAACAAAATTATAGGTCAAAACTTCCCAACTCTAACAAACAGAGATTTAGACATCTAGATGCAGGAAGCTCAGAGAAACTCACAAAAATACAATTCAAGGTTTTCTCCATGGTGCGCTGTAGTCAAACTGTCAAAAGTCAAAGACACAGAGAGTTCTAAAAACAGTAAAAGAAAAGTATCTGGTAACTTATAAGGAAACTTCCATCAGACTAACAGATTTCTCAGCAGAAATCTTTCAGGCCAGAAGATAATGGGATAATATATTCAAACTGCTGAAAGAAAAAACCATAAACCCAGCCAAGTTATCCTTCATAAATGAAGGAAAAATAAAGTCTTTTTTCACAGAAGCAAAACTCAGAGAATTAATCACCACTAGACCAGCACTACAAGAAATACCTAAGGGAGGCCTACATGTGAAAGCAAAAGGATGGTATCTATCATTATGAAAACACTTGAAAGTGTAAAACCCACTGATGGAACAAACATGAATAAGGAAATGAAAGGAATCAAATGTTACCACTACAGAAAACTACCCAACTGCAATGATAAACAATGAGAGAGAGAGAAAGGAACAAAAGATATACATAACAATTATAAATCAATTAACAAAATGACAGGAATAAGGACTCATATATCGATAATCACCTTGAGTGTAAACAGACTAAGATTTCCACTTACAAGACACAGAATGGGTGAATTGATTAAAAAACATGACTTAATTATGTGCTAAGAAACTCATCTCTCCTGTAGACAGATACAGACTAGAAGTAAAAGAAAATACAGATATAGACTAGAAGTAAAAGAAAAAATATACTTCATGCAAACAAAAACAAAAAACAATCAAGAGTAGCTATACTTATGTTAGATGAAACAGAAATTAAGTCAAAACAGTAAAAAGTGGACATAGTCATTATATAATGAAAAAGAGATCAATTCAGTAAGAAGATAAAATAGTTCTAAACATATATGCACCAACACCAGAGCACCCAGATACTAAATCTGATCTTAGCCAAGAGGCCGAGAAGCAATATCACACCCAGATATATGCAAAGCAAATATTAATAGATCTAGAGAGAGAGAGAGAGACACTTCAACACAAAAATAGTTGAGGACTTCAACATCCCACTCTTAGAACTAGACAGCTCATCTAGACAGAAAATTAATAAATAAACATTGGATTTAAACTGCATTTTAGACCAATGGACCTAACAGATATTTACAGAACATTTTGTTGAACAGCTACAGAATACTCATTGTTAGCACATGGAATTATTCTCCACGATAGACCAGATGTTAGGACACAAAACAAGTCTCAACACATTTTTAAAAAATCTAAATCATATCAAGTTTCTTGTTAGACCACAATGAATAAAACTAGAAATCAATAACAAGACAAACTTTGGAAACTGTATAAATACACGAAAATTAGAAAATTTGTTCCTGAATGACCTTTCGGTTAAAGAGATAATTAAGGAATAAATCAATAAATTTCTTGAAACAAATGAAAATGGAAACACCACAAAGTAGTAGTCAAAGGGAAGTTTAACACAATAAATACCAACAACAAAAAACTAAAAATATTTCAAATAAGCAACCCAATAATGCACCTCAAGGAACTTGAAAAGCAAGAACTAATTAGGCCATGAATTAGTAGAATAAAAGAAATAATAAAGATAAGAAGAGAACTGAATACAATAGAAAATTAAAGACACAATGTATCTAGGAAACAAAAAGTTGGTTTTTTGAAAAGATAAACAAAATGAGTAAGTCACTAGGTAGACTAACCAAGAAAAAAGAGAAGGCCTCCAAAAATAAAATCAGAAATGAAAAAGGAGACATTATAACGGATACCATAGAAATACAAAAGATTATCAGAGATTATTATGAACAAGTATGTATTAGCAAACTAGAAAACCTAGATGAAATAGATAAATTCCTGGAAACATATGCCAAAATTGAATCAGGAAGAAATAGAAAACCTGAACAGACCAATAGTAAGTAATCACATTAAATCAACAATAAAGACTCCCAACAATAAAAAGTCTACTACTGGATGACTTTGCATAAAAATGCTTTTTCTTCATCTATCCTCTCAATAGATGCAGAAAAAACATTTGATAAAATTCAACATCACTTTACGATAAAAACTAAAAATACTAGGAAGGAACATGCCTCAACATAATAAACACCACACATAATAAAACCACAGCTAATATCTGAATGTGGAAAGTTGAAAGCCTTTCCTCTAAGAACTGGAAAAGGACAAGATGCTCACTATCACTGCTGCTATTCAAAATTGTACTAGAAGCCCTACTCAGAGCAATCAGGCATCCAAATTGGAAAAGAGGAAGTTAAATTGTCCTTCTTTGTAGATGATATAGTCCTATATCTAGAAAAACCTAGACTCCACCAAAAAACACTTAGATCTGATAAATACATTGAGTAAAGTTGCAGGATACAAAAATTAATATACAAAAAATCAGTAGTATTTCTATACACCAATGATGAACTAGCTGACAAAGAAATTAAGAAGGCAATCCTTTTTACAATAGCTAAAAAATAATTAGAAATAAATTTAACCAAGGTAGATAAAGACCTCTACATGGAAAACTACAAAAATCTGATGAAACATGTTGAAGACAACACAAACAAATACAAAGACATTCCATGATCACGGATCTGAAGT